ACTTAGAAGTTGAATTATAAGAACATTAGACAATTATAATGTATATATATGATACAAAACAGCGTAGTATGGTGAGTTTGAGTACCTAAGCTTATATACCCTTAAGTTATATTCACTTTTCCCATATATATATATATATATATATATATATAATATATATATATATATATATATATATATTATATATATATATATATATATATATATATAATATATATATATATATATATATATATATATATATATATATATATATATATATCAGGTCAATTAAGTGTTGGGCCTTTATGGTTGGCTTCAACTAAATGATGAACTGAATAAGAATGAAAAGGTTACAAGTTGTCAAGTTCCAAAGATGTAAAATTACGATATGTGATCTTTACTTCTTGTCATATTCCTATTCTTGGAACTTAATTTTGTAGGAATGAGATTCTAGGGTTAAAAAAAAAAAAACGTAAATTTGAGACCTCTAACGTGAGTAATTTCCCAACTTGGTAAGATAGTAAATAATAGTGACTGACAGTGTCTTTTAGGGCGGTGAAAAAGCAACGGAAATATATTACTTATCGACATAAAGAAAATAGTTAAAAAGAGACGTAGGGAAAATGAATTCTAATAGAAAATAGAAAAGCAACGTATGGTAGGCTCTCGTTTTCTAACATACTAAATTTAGTAAGATACATTATGAGCTTCAACAATTTGCTTCAACAATTTTCTTCTTTTGTATTTTCTATTTAATTTGCTAACTTGTTATTAAAAAATTAAATTAATCGATTCTTGGAAGATATATTATAATTAAAAAAAAAAAAAAAAAAAAGAACCTTCCAAGTAATCCATTGTATTTAATTTTTTCTGTATACATATAGGTTGGCATATATATATCTTAAATTCCAAATGATTTATATTTCCTATATTTTAATTTCTAAAAAGAAAAATAATTTCACGAGTATATATCTCATTCATACCTATTGATTTTTTATTATATCTATACGTTTTGTTTGGTACCATAAATTTATTTCCTAAATTTTTTTAAATTTTCATGATCAACCACTAGATGTAGCTTATAAACTATATTTTTAAAAAATTATTTTAGATTATTTTTTTAGGAATTTTTTAAAAATTTTTAATATACATTTAATAATTATAAAAAGACATCCTTCAAAATGTTTTTTATATAATTTTAATATTTTATATTATCCACCAAACTTACCAACTAATTTTTATAAAAATATTCTTTTTATTTTTCATCGGCTACGAATTACAAATTAACTTGTTAACTATTAGTTAGTTTTTTATAAATATAATAAACATGATTTTACATAATATTAATAATAAATCGTATTATCATATCTATGAATGTAAATTTCAAGTACATTCTAACACAAAACTTTTAATAAAATAAATATTTTGATATATTTGATACTCCATACCATTACCATCCCACATGGGGTGTCCATTAAACCTAATTAAACCAAACCCCACAAAAAGGCACACCACCAAATTCCTCATGGACCAACACTCCAAAAAATACAATACCTTTTTATTAATTTACATCCATTATTTTTCTATTTTCTAAATAGTCAATATATAGCAAATACAACTATACAACCACTTTACAACCTACTATATCATGCACACAAAACAAAGTTTCAAATAAAGAAAATGTAATTAGAATTAATCAAACAAATAACGAAAACTTATAATAAAAGATTGATTGATTAATTGTAAAAATATATAACATTTAAATTCATCATCATACATGATACAACATGTCAACAATGACAATTTGCCTTAACTTTCTCCATCTTTCCATTTCCATCTTTCCTTTTTTTTCCTTTTTCCTTTTCCTTTATTCTCATCCAGCGAAATTTACAAATTCATATTTCATCCATCCATCCACGTATGCTTCCAAAATTATATCTTTATATTAAAAATTGAAAGTGTGAATCGTGAAAAAAGAAACACAACCTAAAACGACGTCGTTCATCATGACATCATCATCAATCATCTTCTCCACTTCACACTTCACACATTCACACTGCATCTGTTCGCCAACTGGTACTTAATTCCGGTGCCGACGACAATCCCCGGAATCGCCGAATTCAACTTGTTCCCGAACGGAATATACGCCGGACAACTAACGTGGATGTGATACCTCCCGGAGATAAACCTCCCAACTCTCCATCTCACCCTTCCGTTGATCTTAATAATCAACGATATCTGACCATTGGATTGATCCTGAGTCAACGACGCGCCGTTGTACGGCGCCACCGGGACGTTGGTTCCGTACACAAACGGCGACCAGACGTTGTTGTCTTTATGGCCCTGGTACACCGGCTGGATGGCGGTGAAGTAAGTGATTTGCTGGTTTTTGTAAGACGCGAAGACGTCGAGTTTATCGTAGTAAACACCGATTCTGTCGTTGGGGTTATGGGAGGAGATGGTGACCTGAAAGTTGGAGGAGAGGAGGATAGGGGCGGAGACATTGAAGGAGTAGATGGTGGCGTCTTGGAGAGTGAATCTGGGTTTTCGGGGTTGAAGGATTGCCCATGTGATGAGGAAAGTGAGGAGGACGATGAAGGCGAGGATGAGGAATCCGGCGAAGAGTTTCCGGAAGAGTTTTTTGCTCTTGTTTTTGTGGTGGGTGCACTCTTTGACGGACATGGCGACGGCTGTCGGTGGTGGTGGTGGAGGAGGAGGAGGAGGAGGAGGGAGGTCGCTTTTTCAAGCAATCGTCGTCCACTGGTGTGGACAGGAGAGTGTTTTGAGTAGAGAAATGTAGAAAGTTCAAGAGAGTGATTAGGTTTTATGGAGTTCAGTGTGGGGTGTTAGGTTGTACGTACAAGTAGACAATGCAATGTATCATATATTCCTTTATGATTTTCTTTTTCATGTCTTTTCAATGTTATATTCTCAAAAAATTATTATTATTATTATTATTATTATTATGATCGTTGTTTTGCTATAAGAGGAAATAGTTAGAGAATTTTTTTTTAAACGGAAGGAATGAACTAAAACTAGCAAAAAAAAAAAAAAAAAAAAAAAACTAATACAAAAGAAATTACAAAGTAAAGAAATCATAGTTTGGATTTTGAGTCGTCCTTTCCAACTAAAATTACAAACTTTAGATTTATTTCTAATCCAAAAATACAAAAAAATAAATAAATAAATAAAAATAAAAAATTATCATGAAAAATCATAGATTTTTTAGGCTTAACCGTCCCAAAGACCGAATTATTTTGATAATTCCAAATCACCCAAAAATTAGTAATGACAATTGCATCAAAACCGAAATAAGGAGTTTATCCAAGTGATCCAAGAGTCAATCATACAAGAATTAGGACAAATGATATCCTACCACCTACTAATAAGGGACCACACAACCTGTAACTTTGGGTAAGAAATAAAAAGATGGTTAGACGACTCCACCACCGACTCACAAACAAGACACATAATGAAAATCAACTCCAAACCACGTTGCGAAAGGCAATGACGAGTGGGGATACGATTCAACTTAATCCACCAAAGTAACACATTTAGCTTATTAGGAACCAAAGAATTTCATCCAGTCGCATACATAGAATTCAGGAGAGGCATATTATCAAGAAAGATCTCGCAGAAGAAACCATAAAAGTGTCATTCGTATCCAACTACCAGAAAAGATGGTCATTTGTGTCCGACCAAGAGCAAGAAGCTAACAATTCTCAAGATCAAACATTTGTTCCTCCTCTACGTAATCTACACAAAGCACACAAATGAGAATTCGGGCTAGACCTATCGGCAATGAGACAATCTCGATGCTTATACAAGGTGTAAATTCTGTGGAAATTAAGCTTAAGAGGAGTCGGCCCCAACCACAAGTCATGCCACAAACGGGTTCGATCACCTTTACCCACTTTAACTGAAAAATACCCAATCAAATCCATGCCAATCGAACGTAAATTAGAGATGGTCATGATAATAATACACCAAGGACCGGAACATCCAGAAGGAATCGAATATAAATCAAGATAAGCATTGTTACCATGAATTGCTTTAATGACTTGCACCCAAAGAACATCTCCGTCGGCAAAAAAAATCGCCACCTCCATTTAGCACGGATTGAAGGAGAAGAGACTACCAACTCCAAGACCTCTTTTATCTTTACTAGCCAAAACTTGATTCCAACTAACCTAAAACAATTGGCATTCACCAATATCAGCACCCAAAAAAAACTAGTTTGAATCCTCTTTAGAATCTTGAGTACCATTTCCAGAACCCTAAAGATAGACATAGAATCTTGAGTACCATTTCCAAGAAGAAATATGATTGGAATTTTCACTAATGGGACCCCCTAAATACACAAAAGGAGTCTGAGACGCAGCACAACCAATCAACCTAACAACCTCTTCGACTATAGCATACCCCACACCTACACCAATTAACATGTTTTTATGCAAGTTAAATTTTAAACTGGAGGCAAGCAAAAGCACCTTAACATCCGAATAATACGATGTGCGTTCTCAACCTCCTGGTCACACAATAAAATAATATCATTTGCATACAGAAAGTGCAAAAACTTTAGGTTTGAAAATCCTACATCAACCTCTTTAAAAGCAGCAACTCTCTCGGAAGTAAAACATTCTATTATTAAAATTGTTTTACGTTTTAAGTTTGAAAATCCTAAATCAACGCCTTTAAAAACATCAAGCCCTTTATAGTGTGAAATCTTTATTAGTGGGCATTTTAAAGAAAAATATTACATTCAGTGTTTGAAAATTATAATATTAATTTTTTTTATTAAAATTGTTTTACGTCTTGGTTTGTCTAAATTATTGATTCGAAACCACTTTTTTAAAAATTTGATTTTTTTTAATTGAGATGAAATCAGGATCCCATGGATCTCTTGGCTCGAAAGAAAAAAAAAGTAAAAAAAGAGAATCAAACCATCTCTTCAGATCATTTTTCAAATTCGATAAATATTGGTTGATCATATATTTCATTAGAGTTCTATGATTCACAGTATCATTTCCTATTTGATTCATTTGAATTCCATATTTGAAGTTGTGATCGAGTCTATTCATTAAAAAGAATCGATTCAATACATTTCTTATGTACCTATGGGTGTTATGTTGGATGTGAATCAGATTTCAGATCAATCTATATTGATTGGCTACCTCCAGTATGTTGTTGCTAGAAAACACCATTATTTTTTGTTTTGGTTCTTCCAAATCATTCCCGCAAGAGATCCGACCCCCTTTTTTTTTATCATTCGATAAAAATATTCATTCTCTTCATAAAAAAAATAGGAAGTATAACCAATAAAAGCAATAAAGACGTCGTTTTTCATTCATATCTGGAGTTGATTACCCATTTTATTGTTTTGGATCCAATCCATAAGAACCAATAGAAAAGATGAATCTCTTATGATATACGAGATCCGACTCGGTTATTGATAGAATAAATCTGTTAGTTCTTGAAATTTCTTTTCTGATTCAAAATCGTGATGTAACGTATATCCTCCCCTGTATATAATATCAAAATATGGATTTTAATCGACTTTAAAGTAAAACATTTTGTTTTATTTAATTTTTAATTAAAATATTTTATTATAAAGATAATGTCAATATTAATTTAGACAATATCAAAACATCAAATAATTACCGCAAAATATGAGTTTGAATGGATCCAATAAAAGAGTTTCTGATTTAGGATGAAACTATTCGAGTCAAATACATAAAGTGCTATTTTATTTTAGTAAAATTGAATATTATACATGTCACAATAAATATAATACGTTGTATATCTTTTATATAAAAGGAGTCCATAAAAGATAATTAACAACATACTTCTGTCAAGTTTTGCACATGTATATATGCTACTAAGAAATTAATGATTACGCACATGTTGGTTGAGTGGATATTGTGTTCGGTGGAATTAGAATGTATGTAGCGACGGATACGTAAATATTTTATATACGAAGTTGCGGTTGAATATGATCCAGGTGGCTTGAAGTGTGTGCCTGGATTACTGTCACAATAAAAAAAATAAAAAATTCTATATTAGATTGAATAAATTATTGATAAATTGATATTCTATATTGAATTAAATAATTACTCCAATGGGTTTATTTAAAGTGTTTATTTATTTCGATCAGCTGTAATGTATTTCTTTTGAGAGCAACTTAATAAAGATAGATATGAGTGACAATTTTCGATAATACTTGATATGATCATAAATGAGTTTGAATTGAGATTTTATAACCTATCAACACGTTTATTATATTAATCGTGTTTGGATTTATAAATAATTTTATGCGTTGATATTAGAACCTGTTTATTTTATTAAATAAGGGTTTAAAACATCCATTAAAACCGCAAAACTAAATTTCAACCTTGGAAAAGGACTTGTGCTTCTAAATTAGTTACATTAATCTTTAGTATAAACCATAAGGATCCAATTAAACCCGAATTTGAGAAGCTCTATAAATAAGGGGTTAAATCGACAAGATGGTGTGAAATTTACTACCATATAACTCTTAGAGCATTAGGTGTGAGAAACTAGATATTACATCATTTTGGTGTCACATCACATGTCACATCACCAATGATGTTATAACACAAACTGGAGAAATGATCATCTTGTTGTATCTTGTTATAACACCAACTTTTGTTTTTCCATTTTATAATTTTTATTTTTATTTTTTTTTTTTAATTTAGACAAATATTTTTTAAATATAACATAATAAATAAAACATAATGTTTAAAAATTATAAATAACATATAATAATTTTTAAAGATTAAAATTAGCATAGAGATAAAATTACACATAACATCCAAATTCAAAAAATAATAATAAATAACATCCAAATTCAAAAAAAAAAAAAAAAAAAAAAAAAAAAAAAAAAAAAAAAAAAAAAAAACGCTATTCGTTATCGTTATTATTACCATAAAAGATATAATGGATTCAAGTCTTCTCGAAGTTGTATGTGTTTATTAGCTATCTGAATGTCAACAACCTGATGCAAATATTCTGCTGTTCCTGGTTGAAACTGAACGTGTCTGGGCTCCGTTAGGATATAGTGTGCAATATTTCGTCATTTATCTTCTACTACCATGTTATGCATTATGATACATGCATACATGATATATTGTAGACTTTCTAAATCCAATAGTCGTGTTGAATGTTCGACTATATGTCACTTCGCCTTCAGCACTCCAAAAGCACGTTCCACATCCTTACGTGTTCCTTCTTGTCTTGTTTTAAAAAAAATTGTCTCGTTCTTCAACCAGGTGGCGGAATGCCTTCACGAATGTGGAATACTGAGGATATATTTCATCTATAAGGTAATACCCATATTTGTATTTGTTTTCATTCACCGTGAAATGAGCATCTGGGGCCTTTCCATTCAAAAGATCGTCGAATATTGGCGACTAATCAAGAACGCTGACGTCGTTGTTGGAACCCACAACCCCAAAAAATACATGCCAAATCATTAATCTTAAGAAGCAACAGCCTCTAAAACCAATGAAGGTGATCCGTGATGACCACTTGCGTATTGTCCTTTCCATGCTACATGACAATTTTTCCATTTCCAGTGTGTGCAATCAATGTTTCGGATCATTCCAGTAAACCCATGGCGTTCTACATGCGTCGCATACAATTCTTGCAAATCATGCAACAAA